AAAAGACACACGTGACATTTTTACAGTCAATCAGATAGAAAAAAAAGATCGCAAGTCCGACATTCTCTCATGTTTAAGTTGAGCATCTGCGGATAGACACCATATGCTCGTGTATATCAATGTCTGAGATTAAGAAAATGATTAGAAACTAAAACAAAGGACCCCGATGCAACCTGGCTAAACCAAACGTGTATACTCAGAGGGAATAGCTGTACAGACACGGAGTCGTTTGTTACACTGAAAAGTTACATTTCGTTACATTATATACTACTCAATACAAGTTAAAGAACGCCTACAATTGAAAGGATGGCTGTTGCTATACCCCCATAGCCATGGCAGGTTTACTGTAGCAATATGAACAAAAGGTTGTTTTTTTCTTTTCTTTTGAGTAGTATAAAGCGTACATTAAAATCACTTGCTTGTTGGTATGTAAGCATACTAATCTATCTCAAGAACCCCAATTTCACCTCACCTACTCCGAAGTGTTCACCCTCGGGAGCAATGGTGGCCAAGGTGTCAAAAACGACCCAATATGCTGTGCAGAGTTGCCTCCCTTTGACATAGCATCCGCTTGCCAGGGTTCGAATTCCCGAGATTCGCGCCGAATGTGATCCTTGGTTTGTCAGCACTAACCCGTGCTCGTTGGTTTCACCAAAGTGGTAACCGTCTACGGCTTGCGTCACATCAAGCTTTCGGCCAACATTAAGCTGTCACGTTGTGATATAACTGAAATATTCTTCGTGGAAGCGTATAAAAACCAAACTTACTCCAACTGACTAAAAGTTGCCCTTCATATATAAGCAATCATGTTTATACGATAGGCATGTGCACAAAGTCATGACTAACTGACCCCTTTTCACTTATTTTCAAAATCGAAGTCTTTGATGCCCTGATGAAGGAGCAAGAAGTAACTCATGTATTCATTTCAAAATCGAATTTCCAAGTCTGTATATGGTCAACGTTGAAGCCTGATATCCCCGCCATTGAGATTTTACAGTTGGTCAAATTACATGTTCTGTACCAAAATTTGATATCTTGTTATCTTGTTAAAACTTAAATTATATATTGGCAAGTTAATCAAACGTCCATTGAGTCTCGACCAGACAATCCAGGGATTGATGTCATGAGCATCGATCCACGCAATTGGGATACGCTGATTTTTTTCTTCTTCAAAAGAACCTTTCCTCTTCTGCTGTTTCGGTTAGTTTGATCTTGACTAGAATATATATAGTTCCGGTTTTAGTTCAAACAATCAATGCCAGGTGAAAGTATATAAAGGATGTCCCCTCAAACATCTTTTTTCATGTACTGTAAAAGAGCGATTAGGCTGGCCCCGCGATGATAAACATTTTCTTCCCTTACAATTCTTTGTAACCTAGACTAACATTTAGTCACAGAACTGAAAATATTTCAAGATTATTTTGTTAAATTGTATTTCATATACATTATAGAAAGAAGTCCCGAGCCTCAACTGAAGAAATCTAGACTTCAGTATTGTAGCCTTCCTCGGGACTTTACGGAGGTTGTTTTGATCAGGATTGGTCTGAGAAACTCTGTGTAACTTTATACAATGATTAGTTTATATAGTATCTTGTTAGCTCCCTTAATACGCCATGTTCGCTGACCATGAGGCTGTTCGGACATCTGCGGACGCTCCCTGTCAGGAAATCCCCTCAAAACCGGAGTTTGTTTAGACACGTATATATGTTGTGTTATCAACATCGTGGTCAACTATCGTCTATAATTAGTAGTGTTAACAAGTGCACACGCTCTGTAATTTTCCTCGGACTGAACACACTGCCCAGCTGGGTGCAGGAATCTCACGGAGGAAATAGGCTAAAGAGAATTATTATCTTATTTTGTGTGCTGATAGTTGATCTTGATGTTAGGTGAAACTGTAAGCCTTTGGCAGAAGGAACTGAGCTCTCGCTCGCGTGTAAAGCAGTATGGAACTTTGATGCTCATTTTGTGTATTATTTTGCATTTGTGTGGTTTATATTTATTGTTTAGTGAATATATGGGAAAACATTAAGATGCTGCATTTTGTATTATCTCAGACTTACAAATAGTCTACGAAATAAAGTTGTTGGTTGGTTTGTTTGTTTGTTGTTTAACTCCGCACTCGGCTGTATTCCAGCTATATGACGGCGGTCTGTAAATAATCTAGTCTGGCCCAGACAATCTAGTGATTGACATCATGTGCATCAATCCACGCAATTGGGATCGATGACATGCATCAAACAAGTCAGCTCCAACTGACCACCCGATCCCGTTAGTCGCCTCTTACGACAAGCATAGTCGCCTTTTACGGCAAGCATGGGTTGCTGAGGACCTATTCCACCCGGGAATCTTCAACGAAATACAGTTATGAATGAGGAAGTTAGTATGGTTTAACGGCGCTCTTAGCATTATTCCAACAATATCACGGCGGATTATCGAAATAAGTTCCTGCCCACAGGCCCGTGGCAGGTAGATCTCGTTTCGGGCAAGTAGTTAAAAAGTTGAATAGGTCCTGATGGCCTGCAGCATATTTACGTGTTGATGTGTTTTATTATTATTATTTTTTCGTTTTTCATACTTACTTGACAACATGTCGCCGACATTTTGTACAGTATGTATAATGTTTCAAGTAATAAAATCGTTCAGGAATTTCAATTGTATTCTCTATGATATATTTTAGCATATAAGGTTTCATTCAACTTTGACTGAAATATTAAGGGCCGGATGAGTTTCAGGTGGAATAGAGCCAGCAAGAGCAGGCTAGACTTGCTTGTGTGTGTGTGCGTGTGTGCGTGCGTGCGCGCGCGCGTTTGTGTGTGTGTGCGCGTTTGTGTGTTTTGTTTCCATAAAATTAAAATTTCCACATTCATGGTGCAGGACTATGGCCCCCTCCCCCGCCCAGTATACGGTTACACTGTCACAGCCAGGGCTGGGAGCTGAGCAACACCCAACAGACCAACGCGTAAAGCAGTTGAGGTCACAGGTGAGATTCAGTGCCGATCATGTGACGATGCATGTTGCCATGTGTTTCCAAGGTGACAATCCATAGCCACCTCTGCTGTCTGGTCCAAGTGAAACCCTAGAGGGGGTATTGGGGAGGGGGAGGGGGAGTTAATACTCTATAAGAATGAGTGACTGAGTTGGGTTTAACACCGCTTTTTAACAGTATTCCAGTTATGTCGCAGCGTGTCAGCTGAATATGGGAGGAAAGCTCGAAGTGACGCAGGTCTCAGACGTTTACCACTTCGGTGAAACCCACGAGCACGGGTATGGTGCTGACAAACCGAGAAACATAATAAGGGCGAACCGGGATTCGAACCCACAATCATAGGTTTCACGCAACTCTGCACAGCGAATTGGGGCACCTTAGACGACCGCGCCACCTGGGCCACCCGTGCCCCCTCTATGAGAATGACAAACAACTGTTTTAGGGAGGATTAACTACATGTTATCAGCAAGATCAAGAGGAACTAGACCATGGGGTCACACGATAGCAGACGAGGAACAGAAACAATCATCTTGGTTGTTTATCATCACCGTCTTCAGTAGATGAGCATGGCTGTGGAATATACATTATACTAAATCTCAAATAATCAGACATTAACTGGGTTTAGTTCATGTGTTTATTGCAGAAACATGTTTACAGATCACGCATCATCACGTTCAAGTCTCGCGCAGCATTTGTAATATTTGCTAATGCGTCCACCACTCGTCAACAACTATCTAGTTGCTCCTTCATTTACATACTGCAAAAAACATTTGTACAGAATAGACTATGTCGATGCATGCAGATTGCGTCACACGTGTTGCTGCGAGTTCGGGCATACGTTCAGATCAAGTACAGTAAACTACGGATATAACGAACTCAAATGGACCACTAATTTTAGTTCGTTATAACCGTAATTCGTTATAAACATATACAGCAAATGTCTGGGACCCAAAAAACAGTTCATTATATCCGCCAGGTCGTTATAAGCGTGTTCGTTATAAACGTAGTTTACTGTACTTATTAAATGTATACTACCCATGCAAACATCTACATAAGTACGAGTTCATGTGCCAGGTTTTGTTTGCATGGAGTATACAATATGCACAAGTGCCTTACCATAGCTTCTTATACACTGTCTTTATCCCTGCTATACATGGAGATTCTGGGTTAGAATAGGCCTCCAACAACCCGTTAATGGCGACTAAATGGATTTGGTGATTGGACTTGGATGATCACCTGTCATCGTAACCTGACGGCGTCTGACGTTGCTCATAATATCAATCACCGGTTTGTGTGATCCAGATTATTTACAGGCCATCCTCGTAGATGGGTGAGTGAGTGAGTTAAATTTGTCATTAGTTCAGCCAAATGGCGACTCCCTCATAGTTGGAATACGGCAGAGTGCTGACCAGAAAAAAAACATACTATACACAACTCATGTAACAATACTACAGCGAAATTTACATTCAACGTTCTATTAATATACGATGCTGTAATTGCCATCATTACAATGAACCAAAGTGTCATCATCCTGTATGACACGCATGTAATGAAAATACACCCTCAATGTAATCCGACATCCTCTTCTTCAATGTACCCTTTGTACAAAAGAGTGAGTGCGTGCGTGTTTACGCTGCAAAAGCAATATTTCAGTAATATCACGACGGGTGACACCAGAAATAGGCTTCACACATTGTACCCATGTTGGGGAATCGAACCCACTACGCTACTCTACCGCCTCTTGTACAAAAGACATATATTCATACACAATGCACCCTATTGCTGACAACCCTTTGAGACCCATGAAGATTCCGGGGTAGAATAGGTCTTCAGGAACCCATGCTTGGCGTAAAAGGTGACTATGCTTGTCGTAAGAGGCGACTAACGGGATCGGGTGGTCCGGCTCGCTGACTTGGTTGATGCATGTCATCGATCCCAATTGCGTGGATCGATGTTCATGATATCAATCACTGGATTGTCTGGTCCAGACTCGATTATTTACAGACCGCCGTCATATAGCTGGAATATTGCTGAGTGCGGCGTTAAACAACAAACCAACAACAACGACAACCCTTTGAAACTGTTTTTTATACTACTCTGTCTTGACAGATGAACTACCGTAATATGAAAGAATCGGGGGATCCTTCACTTTTATTTGTGTGGTATAGTTAAATAAAGAACCAGCTGTCAAACAATATATTCAAATACGTCTATAAAAATGTAAAGGGATCTTCATGTATATTTTCTGAGGCAGTGGGATAGCATAGTGGTAAAATTGTTCAAACGTGAGAAGCCTCTGTGGTGTCTCACGCCGTGATATTATCACAATATTGATAAAGCGGCGTAAAATAACTCACTCGTGTGTAGTGGTGGTCATCTGGCCGGGAGTATCCTTGACCTATGACTGTGTAGCTGTATAAGTACAATCACTGAACACTGGTCATGGCGACATGATGCACTACTTCCATGTCTGGTGTAGAGTTGCGGTTGTTCTGTCAACGGATACTCACAAAAGAACACTGCCTTCTCTCTGTCTAGATCAGTTTCCGATAGGTCAACAAACACGAAGGTTAGATCTTCCCGTCACACAGTTTTCTGTCTATGAGCCTCAGATCACAGATTACCCGTGCTTGTTGTTCTTACCCAGAAACACGGGGTACAAAACACGTGCTCTAGTCTGTATACATGGACACGTGTCTCACGCGCGTGCTCGCATGCTTGGCAAGGTCATCGAGAATACACAATGTTGGGATGCAGGAAGTAAAGATGGGACGAGCTCGATGGAAGTGGTAGATAAGACATTCTATGAATTAAAACAATGAGATGTGTCGTGTTTGAGAAGCAGAATGGTAGGAAATGACGATGTCATGTTCTGAAGTTTATGATTTAAACGTAAACAGTGAAAAGATTAATATGTCGTGTTGTATATTAAACAACGGAAGCTGGGCGGGCTGTTTATGAGATAGGAAATGATACATTAATGGGGTGATCTGGTCTCAGGAAGATGTAATTTTAAATATAAACGGGATAATGACGATGAAATGAAAGATATGAAAAAGTTGGTCACGGCATTTAATATGAAAAAGTTGGTCACGTGCACTTCATATGAAAAATGTGGACAAGGATTTCCTAGAGCCACGTATTTCAAGCTACATTGGAGTATCACACATCTGTGGGGTCGTTGGGTAGCTTTGTGGTTAAAGCGATCTCTCGTCACGCCGAAGACACGGGTTCGACTCCCTATATAGATATAATGTATGATGCCAATTTCTGGTGTCCCCCGTCGTGATATTGCTGGAATATTGCTAAAACCATACCCACTCACCCTTTAAAATCTTAATAAAATTAATATTATGGTTCAACCTGCAGTGTGTTGGTCCAATGAAAAACGGCCAGTGAGGCAAATTCTCTTGTCTTAACCACCATGAGTGTGTGTAACCTATTCTGTTCATAAAGACATCAGCGGATATTCGTTCATATATGACATGTTCAGTACAATGCTGTTGTATTCAGTCCAGAAACTGAAGCGGCTCCTTTCAGTATCGAGTTGTGGCGGAGTTGTTGGTAACGGAGGAAACGACTCGTAAACGTTTGGGGCCGTTTTGGACGTCGTTGCGGCTGACGTGGGTTCAGGTGTCGCTACTGGTGCTGTTGATGTTGTAGCTGGAGACTGCGTGACATTCACCACGTCTGATGACGGTGAGAGGACCTTCTCCAGAGAGGCAGATAACTGTTGCATTGATTGCGTTGTCATGACGATCACAACTGATGAACAACGATGATGTTGACGTTGTTGATGATGTCGTAGTACTGATGATGTCTAGTAGGATACAAGCTGACAGCGACACGCCTGTATAGTTAGACAGAGAATACAGAATCAGTTATAGATCAATTATGCATAAATTAAAATCATCAGATCTAATTATTGATGACCCTACCCACTGTATCAAACACCTCCAGTCTATAAATGGCCAGCTTGTGAAATAAATTATACTACGGTTATAACGAACTCAGAGGGACCACTGATTTTAGTTCGATATAACCGTAGTTCGTTATAAGCATATATACAGTTCACATACAGCAAATGGCCGGGACCAAAAAATATGTTCGCTATATCCGTCTGTTCGTTAAAAGAATGTTCGTTATAAACGTAGTTCACTGTATATCAAGATGTTTGAAATGTTTAAATAAATAATTACTTTGAGTATGGAGGTGGACAATTGGACAGAGGACTTAATCATGCCCGGCAATGAATTACAAACATGCAGTGTAAATTGATTAGGTGTAACAGTATTTTAGTCACACAGCTCTATCTCAATGTAAAAGCCCAAAATGACACATTTCGTGGACGTTTGTCACTTTGATGAAACCCACGAGCACGGGTATGGTGCTGACAAACCAATGTTCGTAATCAGGACAAAAATAGATTCGAACCTACTATAAGGTGGTCTTGGCATTGCCAATTTCCGACGCCTTTGAAAACTGGGCCACCTATCCCCATGCTGCTTCGACGTAATGTACTTACCGTTGATGTGAACTGGTCTTATGTAGCTGATGCTCTGTGATGTTCTCGTGAGCTGGTCTTATGTAGCAGATGGTCTGTGATGTTCTCGTGAGCTGGTCTTATGTAGCTGATGCTCTGTGATCTCGTGAGCTGGTCTTATGTAGTTGATGGTCTGTGATGTTCTCGTGAGCTGGTCCTATGTAGCTGATGCTCTGTGATGTTCTCGTGAGCTGGTCTTATGTAGCTGATGCTCTGTGATGTTGTCGTGAGTTGGTCTTATGTAGCTGATGATCTGTGATGTTCTCGTGAGCTGGTCTTATGTAGCTGATGGTCTGTGATGTTCTCGTGAGCTGGTCTTATGTAGCGGATGCTCTGTGATGTTCTCGAGAGCTGGTCTTATGTAGCAGATGCTCTGTGATGTTCTCGTGAGCTGGTCTTATGTAGCTGATACTCTGTGATGTTCTGGTGAGCTGGTCTTATGTAGCTGATGCTCTGTGATGTTCTCGTGAGCTGGTCTTATGTAGCTGATGCTCTGTGATGTTCTCGAGAGCTGGTCTTATGTAGCAGATGCTCTGTGATGTTCTGGTGAGCTGGTCTTATGTAGCTGATGCTCTGTGATGTTCTCGAGAGCTGATCTTATGTAGCAGATGGTCTGTGATGTTCTCGTGAGCTGGTTTTATGTAGCTGATGCTCTGTGATGTTCTCGAGAGCTGGTCTTATGTAGCAGATGCTCTGTGATGTTCTCGTGAGTTGGTCTTATGTAGCTGATGCTCTGTGAGGTTCTCGTGAGCTCGTCTTATGTAGCAGATGGTCTGTGATGTTCTCTTCCAGATCTGTGCCTGACTGGAAAATCAAATTCAGAAATATATGAGTCACCTTTCAACCAAGCTCAGTGAATCGTGGATCTAACTCAGGGGACAATGTGGCTCTCTGAATTCTCTACGGATGAACTGATAATGCCGAGAGAGGGGTCGGGTCAAAGGTTGAGTCTGCTGATACAACAATAAATAAGACCCCAATCCGATTATATACACTGTATCCTAAACTAAAACAAAGACTTATATCTTAAGTTCAAAGGTGTCTCACTAAATTCCTGTACATACTGTGACCGGTTATCAAAATCCACGCTATCATGTTTTTCATTCGTGTAAGGCCGTGAAGATCCTGGGTAGAGTAGGTCTTCAGCAACCCATGCTTGCCGAAAAAGGCGATAATGCTTGTCGTATGAGGCGACAAACGGGATCGGGTGGTCAGGCTCGCTGACTTGGTTGATGCATGTCATCGATCCCAATTGCGTGGATCGATGCTCATGATATTGATCACTGGATTGTCTGGTCTAGACTCGATTATTTACATATAGCTGGAATATTGTTGAGTGCGGCGTTAAACAACCAACCAACTAACCAACCATCATTCTTGTAAGAACACATTTATTCATATATATAGTTATCTTATTCGGAAATGTTTATCTACAAAATAAATAATAAAATCGAAATGGAGCCCAGAACAATGCTTCATTCCTAGAGCTAGGTAATCTAGACATGCCAAATAATTCTATTTTAATGTTTCAATTCATGTTTTAATATATACTCTAGAGACAGACAATACTCCTGGGGGCTGAAACATTTAGACACACGACGAATTTGCCGAATATTAACCGTTATACCATCCACGGGGTTATGAGTGGTGTTCCTGGTCTTGATACTAAAATGCACGAACAGAAATCTACGAGTCGAAAGTCAGAACATGTTTCAACCATACCACGTTTTCATTTGAAACCACATGTTTGCTGACATACATAATGTATTTTCCATTCTCTTGCACTGGTATCTTCGTATTTCATACACTATTTGATACATCAAGTCAAGCAATTTATAACTTACAGATAATAACGGGACGTTGTGTGAATAATAAAAGCAGGACACCAAATGCAACATAAACACTACCTATATTACCTACCTCTATATATACCAGTAGCTGGGCCGAGAGAGCGACACGGTTGTCAAATGTCACATATGATATGTACAACACCGTCAACTGACTCGTCAACCCTAGCAACAGGTGCGTGTTATATCAGCATCAGGTGATATGATTGGATTTTGCAATTGCCCTGCTGTCATCGTAGGCGACTGGTCATCTACGCAGTCCGCATATCTACTTTGGTCAGATCGTCGTTGTTTGAGTCGGTGAGGTGTTGTGAAAGATGAATGTTATCAGTGAACCTGTGGGTGGTAGCTTATCGATTGAGAAACAATGTTCTCGATAACGTCTATATTTCTATTAGGGAAAGATAACTGAATAGCTCGTGTCTATTTTGTTATTAAACAATTCCAGTCTCATCTCTAGAAGCCTATACTGTATACCCATCCTCTTTTCTGTTCTAACATTGGGAGACTTGAGGTTTCGTTTATAGAATTTATTTTTTAACCTTCGACATAACTTTATTTCGGGGATTATATGTGGCGACCGTCAGCATGTAATAACATTTATATTATAAGAAGCATTGTCATGACTACATACATACATACATACATACATACATACATACATACATACATACATACATACATACATATATGCTTCTCTTGGCCATGATAGTCGGGTACCGGACTGTGAGTTCGACAGGACAGGGTATTCGACACATCCCAATTCGAAACAACGGGGTTCGACTTTATAGTTGTTCTTCCTCTGCTTCTGCTACGGCGTCTACAGCTTCTGCTGCTGCTGCAGCTGCTACAGGGTCTACAGCTTCTGCTGCTTCCCCACTACGTTTGTAATCAAAGAATGCCAGCTATCTTTCATTCCGTGACATTAGACGATCGTGATAGTTTGGAGTAAGGATACCCTGTGGCATATTGATAACCAGACTGAAAAGCATCTTTGATCTAGTTTATCACAACGGCACAAAGCTAGGTAACTGTAACATACCGTACCAAATCCAGTCTTCTACCCTATCAGCTGAAAACAGAGACCATATACCGTTAACTCGCAAGAATGTCAACGTATATATATAGAGTACTGTTCCTTATTTGTTATAAATGTCCTTTAACAAATCAAGAAAACTAACATAACTCAACGTTTATAAATATGTAAAGGGTTGGACAACTGGTTTGTCAATTCACGAAATCGTCCCATGTAAATCTTCGAATATCTCATAATCTCGCGTGAAAGTGCCCCTTGGTCTCGCGCGGCAGTGATGGAGCCCCGAGGCCCGCCCCTCGGTATATGGTCTCTGATTTAAACACATCTTCAAGCACACTAACTTCTCGCTTAGAAACGAATCTGCAAACAATAATTCTTTTAAAGTGTTTTCGGATAAAACAGATCACGGATGTGTGTCCTGCTTTTTACAACAGGAAGTTACGCAAATTAACGGCACGCGACATCAAAATTACTATCGGTAACTTCCGGCGGACGTGTCAACGTCTCGTACAATCTCGCGTGTGTTACGTGAATGTTTTCTACATTTTTGTCATTCCCACATTTACCACACGAAGACTGACCGAAGCCCACGTCTGACATTTCCTTTAATATGTTGTTGTCATTATAAAATGTCGGTATTTACCGACTCTACATCCTAGAACCCTTCTTAGATGTAGTTTCTTTTATCCAAATGATGTACTAAACACTAAATAACTTGAATGGAATCCTATCACGCTACAGCTCTTTGAAGTATCGTAAAGGAAATCAGAGCTTAATAAGGCATAACTGCCTTTCAACACTTCAAACATACATTTATTGGTAGAAGTTATTTTCCTGTGCATATAACACACGTAAAATTGACCACACGTATTTCTAGCTATGCAAACTAATTGACAGTCGAGTATTTACATGGTGTGTTTCACGCACAGCTACGCTTGACATGGCAAATTTGATAACATTTGAACAGTTCGTGTAATGGTGTCCATATAGACTAACGGTTCTCATCAACAAGCCATAAATAATGATTTATTATGTTCACAACTGTCCTTCGTAAAACAATTTATGTTCCACGTGTTTATTGGTTTGGTTAGTGGACACACCCGACGGTCATCTGGTCAGCGTGGTGATTTACTGACCCTGGACTAGTCTTTGATGTCCAGCCGTTTCACTTAACATTAAACGCCTTGTTTTTTCTGCCTGTTCCTTGTTAATGCTACAATGACAGACATATTGCAAGCCTCGTTAGCCGCAAACATGAAAGAATTCACTTTGAATGATAAAAACAGCAAAGAATGAAACATACATGTATTTAGTTTGGGGTTTGAGTTTCGTGGCTGCCATTTTATGACATCGGTTTGTCCACTACAGAATAATTTTATTCTATTTTCTCTCGTCGTACACTTAAAATAAATATATCATGCGAATGAACTTGAAATATGATTCCAACTACACATATAAATATATATATATGGATGCTGTTATCAAATAGCCCTTGTCTTACTGTGAGTCATATTGCTCGTGCAGAGTCGAGGTAACCATGTGCATTGAGCTACATTTCGCTTCGTGCCTGACGTTCATATCCGATTAAGTGTGTAAGTCACTATTGGATACCTAACCTGACGGGCAGAGAAAACATATACACCCATGTTTGAATGTGTTGAATTTGTCACGGGTACCATAGGCAATATTCCATGTATCATATCAATGAGTATGTCACAACAGGTGACGTCTCATAATTAGCTGGTTGGTTTGTTGTTTAATGCCGCACTCAGCAATATTCTGGCTATATGACGGCGGGCTGTAAATAATCGAGTCTGGACCAGACAGTCCAGTGATTGACATCATGAGCATCGATCCACGCAATTGGGATCGATGACATGCATCAACCAAGTCAGCGAGCCTGACCACCCGATCCCGTTAGTCGCCTTTTACGACAAGCATAGTCGCCTTTAACGGCAAGCATGGGTTGCTGAAGATCTATTCTACCCCGGATCTTCACGGGGCGGGACGTCTCAAGGAACAAGTAAACATTCATTAGCAGAGTGAAGTGAGAATTTTCAAGTGTATTCAGTGTTGTTTCCTTTGCCCGGCAGTTTATATTGGAATAAACTTCATTCGATAACCAGCACTGAGAATGCATGGCGTTTGGGATTGCAAGAACGGCGGATTAAAGGGCTCAGTTAACGGTACTGTATTAAGAGTTTGATAAAGATCAAGATGGCAACATAATGTAGACACTATTATGTATTACATGTAACGTATTGAATACAATGAATCTGGAGTTTTCAAAGTGGAAATTTTTTAAGGTGATAATTTACATATTAGACTTGCACAAGTCTCTGAGACAAAAGACTTGTACTAGCCACATATCTGGACTTGCCTATGATAAGGATAGAATTACTATACACTCATGGACTTATCGTTCTGTACAGCCTTGGAGCAAGTAAAGGCTATTTACACATAATTGGCCAGATATATCTGTATTGATGGCAGCTATTTCACATTTGTTACACGTATTCTAACGAAAAGTAGAAAGTTTCTTTGAAAGACTTATCTATGGGACTGCAACAAAGATTTATCATTTTACATACATATTTTTTTTCAGAAATGGACAGTGTGCAGGATGCCTGAATAAAATCTGAAAAATAGTCACATAAATAATAGGTATCATCACTAGGCCATTGCGATTACATAATGTATAGATAAGTTTATCCTTTCATGTCCTTTTCATCTTCTAAACTGGTAGTCTATGAGATAGAGTTCTAAATTTTAACAGGTTCAGGTTGTCTCGGCAGTTTGGATAACACTCAAAGTTAAATTAGTTTTGAACAATTTATAAAATCTTGCTTTTGAAGACCTCTCTACCTACATCTGAATGCCATTTCTGAATAAATTGGTCATGGAGACTGGTAGAAACGTGATATTTAAGCCATTATAATGGTGGAAAGAGTTGCTCAATATTCCAGCCATTGGTGTTGTCGGTTAGGTTTACAAAAGTCTCAATACGATACTTCCAACACCGAGGAAATATTAAGACAAGCGCGACTGGCGGATCAACTGAACACATCAAGAGAATGGTGTACGATCAGAATCGGTTTTTTTATGACGTAATGACTGACTGGCTTAAATAAATACCGTCCCAGTCAATAAACGTTTGTAGGGACTGTTAAAATCAAAACCGTTTATCACCAAGACCTTGTCTGAAATTGTTAGTCATCTGATCTACGACTCCTGTGAGTAGTATTACCTCGAAGCCGTAACAAATCATATTAATAGTCTCTTGGGCCATCACGCCATCACAGGTTACACATGGGCCACACGACCTACACCAATGGCGCGAGTCGTCAGTCTCCATGAATCTCAAGATGGCGGAGCAAATGTCTCGCTCAATTTACTAATTTGTGCATTTCCTCGCCCGTGCATTTGAGTTGATTTTCAACAAATTGGGACGGAAGTAAAGGATTCTTGACAGGAAGTTGCGAGAGTGAAGGCACGCGACAGGGGAAACAGTATCGTCTGCTTTGTCGTCTGCCTGTTCCCGCCCATCAATTTACTGGAACTAAAACATGGCCGCTGGGCAGACGACACTCAAACGATGCAGGGGGTAGAGCGGTATATCCCGTCTGACTTTGATCTTTTTCGGAAATGTCCGTCTGACAAAGCGCATTTAAAGGCTTGTAAAGTAGTCCAAGCTCCGTCAAATGTATCCTTATTTCTTTGCCTAAATTGGCTAATTTCATAAACAAGGGATATACGGAAGTGTCTAATTTCCTTGATCTTTCGTGTTTTCGAGTACAAAGAAAAACGATATTGCTGAACTAAAGAGGTGGTGGTCATTAGATCCGCCTCAAGCGGGACACATCCAGGGGAGGGGAATGCCGCTTGTCTTATATGAAGTGGCTCTTGCTTTGTGTCAGGGAATGTCCAGTATGTTTTAGCCGTGTGACCCAAGGTCATTAAATGGCAATAGGACGTTCCTTTGTGGCACTTTAATTGACAATCGGGATGATTACGGTAAATACTAAACCCTCTCTTTCAATAAAACAACAATAGTCGAAAACGCTGGCTAATAAAAACCAGTAAAACCAACTGATACAAACATATACACGATAACTTTAGTTACCAGAAAAAGTCCACATAAATATAAAACGTCAACGTCAGAGAATACCCAGTCTTGACTATCCGCCGAAACAGATTCCATTGGGCGAAAAAGGGAAATAAGCGATGAAA